CCCCCCCCCCCCTCCCCCACACGCCAGCATTTCTCCCTGCTTCATCGACTCCCCCGGCTCTTGTCTCTTGTCAATGTGCATGAATGCTTGAGCGAGGCAGCTTATTCTGCAGATTTTACCTATCCTATTCCAGCGACGCTGTGCTGGTCAACGGACGACAGCAACAACGACGCTGCCTGGACCGGGAGCGCCCTTCCTTGTCGACGTCGGACGGCGCCCTGTTCTTCACCTCTGCTTGCCCGTTGCCGTTTGGGGCTCTTCTCGTCTCCCGGCGGCGCGAGGGTGTATCCTACGTGCGGAAGCGCATCGTGGTGTAATTGGTACCGGCCGTCTGCGAGCATTGACTGTTTGGAATCCGTCTTTGCCGTCGAGGGAGTTGGCGTCAAGCTGCCGTCGCCTGTTCCGGTCCCAAAGACGTCTGTGACGTCAAGCGCTTCCCGTCCTCCAGGACAGGCTTTGTTTGGTACTGGGAGAACAAAGCAGAATCTCGCTGAAGCGTGAGCCTGGAATCAATGGCTCCCTCTTCCAGGCATGCGCAGAACATGGGGCAGGTCATCGAGTACATCCCTGGTACGGCGCGCCCTGCGATGGCAGTCAATGCCTTCGCCTCCTCTTGCTGCTGCTGCTGCTGCTGCTGGCTGTGCGCTGCACATGTGCCCAACGGCGTGCATCTGAGCTTTGCTTTGCTGACGAGAACTTCTTCTACAGACCGCCTCTATCTCGGCGCCTATCTTCGTCCTCCCACGGCGGATACGCTGTTTCCCGGCTGGGAATCTCCGGTGGCGTCGAGAAAACGATCGCAAAGAAACGCCGACTCTGTTTCCTCAGCCAGCAGTGGTCGCTTGCCGCCCTGCTACTTTACGATTGATGATACGCTGCTGTACAATGCCTTTCACCACGACTTTGGTCCTTTGCACATTGGCCACTTGTACCGATTTGCCATCCGATTTCACGATATTCTCGGCGCCAAGGAGAACAAGGACCGCCCTGTTGTCTTCTGGAGCGCCGCTGACCCGCGAAGTGAGTTTCTCAGTTGCCCTTTGCTGCTTTGGCCTGCTGGAGAATTGATGCGACGGCGATTGGCACTGTCAACTGACGCTGCTACCCAAAGGCCGTGCAAATGCTGCCTGCATGCTGGCCTGCTACATGGTCCTGATCCAGAATTGGCCGCCTCACTTGGCGCTGGCCCCCATTGCCCAGTCCGATCCGCCGTTGATGCCCTTTCGCGATGCCGGGTACAGCCAAGCCGACTATGGCATCACCGTCCAGGACGTTGTCTACGGTGTGTGGAAGGCCAAGGAGGAAAAGTGCATTGATCTCGACAACTTTGATCTTGAAATGTACGAGAGGTTTGAGCGTGTAGAGCACGGCGACTTTAACTGGATCACTCCGAATTTTCTGGCCTTTGCCTCTCCCCAGCACACGCCCGTCGCCAAGGTGACGGAGGATTCTGAACTCTGGCCACTGTTGCCGAGAGATCTGGCCGCCGTGGATGCCCACCCGACCCTGCCACAGCCGTTCAAGAACGTCTTGACGCACTTCTCCGAGAAGAATATTGGCCTGGTCGTCCGTTTGAATTCTCACCTGTACTCTCCGTCGTACTTTGAGGCCCTGGGTATCCAGCATCTTGACATGATCTTCGACGACGGGACGTGCCCTCCACTCACAACCGTCCGCAGGTTTATTCGGCTCGCACACGAGGCCATCACCGTCAAGAAGAAGAGCATCGCTGTGCACTGCAAGGCTGGGCTCGGCCGGACCGGCTGCCTCATCGGCGCGTACCTGATCTACAGGCATGGCTTCACGGCTGACGAGATCATTTCCTTTATGCGCTTCATGCGCCCAGGCATGGTTGTTGGTCCCCAGCAGCACTGGTTGCATCTCAACCAGGGCACGTTCCGGGAGTGGTGGGTTGAGGAGCGTGTTGAACGTCGTCTGCGGAGGGAGCTCGCCGCTCCAAGCACACCCATCAGAGCCATGCAAAGGACAAGCCTGCGCAATGGACAAATGTCCACGCCTCCAAACCGCAGTCCGTCGAACCGCACCCCTCTCAGCGAAGTCGACCAGGACCGCAAGAATGGCGTGCAGGAGGACTGCCTTCCCGCCCCTACTCCAGGACAGCCTCGAAAGACCACGCGGGCTGCCGATCGCCAACATGGCTACCAGCGTTCCGGTGCCGCCCACAGATGGCGTCGAGAAGAAGACAAGGAATTCCAGAACGAGACGGAAATAGTGGCCATGCATCGTTACGTGCAAGTGCAGGGTGCTGACTCCGACGAAGAGCTGCATGTTCGCATGCGCAGCCACCGCAAGGCGTCAGCGTCGCCCAGCCGAGAGAGGGTCCGCGCAGTCAGCCAGACGACGTCGACAATTTACGTCGTCGATAACGACGCCTCGCAGGATGCGGAGAACATTGGCGCCGGCCGACCAAAGACCGTGGACCGTGTCGCCAGCACCCCCAGCGTCATGACCAAGGTCCGTGGCAGCAAGCGTGCCGGCTCCGAGTCTCCCCTACGGGCCAAGGACTCTGCCGGAATCCGAAAGACGAGCGGCCGTGTCGGCAGCTCCAGCGTGTCCGTGTCCGCCTCGGCTGCGTCCACGGCACGCAAAGTCTCCGGGTCGTCATAGGGGACGGGCCCAGCCAAACGGATTCAGCATCGGTGATTTGAATGCATCTTTTAAATACCCGCCGGAGAAGCCAGTTTTTTTTTGTGGCATGCCTTTTCTTTTATTATTAATGATGATGACAAAAATCACGTCCATTTGAAGGAGCGATTCGTTTTACCATACTGCATACATGCATGACCTTGGGCGTTCCTGCCAGGAAAAGAGGGGGAAAAACAAGTATACGTCAGTGAGCTTTGTGTGTGTCTGTCTGTACGAAGCTCGAATCCTTTTGAAAGGGAGGAGAGTTGGACACTTGCACGAACCGCCAACTACAGACCTCTATGAGAGAGGCGGGTGTCGAGCAGATGGGGGGTCGTACTGGCCCGTTGCGGAAGTTTGAAGACGAAGGGATTCCATGACGATGTCATTTATATTGTTGAGCTGCGATGGCGCTACGGGAGGGGCGGCACGGGTCTTTTTTTTTTTTTTTTTTTTTTCTCTTTTTTTTCCTTGGCCGTCTTTGATTTGATGACTGCTTGGTTTTGTTTTGCCTGTTTTCCCTCTCCAAGACACCTCTTCTCTCGGATCGTTTGATGTCGCGTCTACTTCAGTCTTTGTTTTACTCCATCGTTGGGTAGTATTTTCAGAGGGAAGGGGGGGGGGGGGGGCTGTACTGTTGAATGGCGGAGGGAGCGAGTTGCGCATATATACACATGACACGGCATGAAATTCATTCTTCCAATCATGACGCTAAAAGCTGCCAGAGTACCGGGTGATGTTCTAAAGGACATGTACCAAGTCCTCTTTAAGTCTAAAAATTTACTTCATGTCAAGAATACGGACGGCCAGCAGACGGGCAAAGGGCAACGTGTTTCAAAGACGTAAATCAGATTTGGACATTGTGCTCCGGCATGCGCGCCTCCTACATCCCCCCCCCAACCACACTTCGGCCTTTTCTATGTTGCAGACAACTGAGGATATTTCATGACAGCCATCCATTGCCCGAGGCAGTAAACGCGAACAACTTTTTTTCCTTTCCGATGCAGTGTCCTTGGAAACCAACAAAGCGCCCCGTGAAAAGGAGAAAAAAAAACATTGGGGAGGGCTTCCGTGGCAGGAAAGAGCCGCTCGTCAGTCAAACATGAGAGTCGCGAATTCATTTCTCTTGCGTGGCGGCCCGGTTCCGGGAGACCCCGTGATACTCCCGGACAGGTCTCCCGTCCAATCCAGGCCGACTAGTAGACCTTTTTCTTCTCATCGATACTGAACTGCCCCGGGCCGCTGTTGACCAGCAGGAGAAGACCGCCGACGATGGAGAGGATCTGGAAGAAATCGTACTTGGCAAAGTCCTTGTGGGGGTGGTGCTCGTGGAGCTAGCGAGGCACGACACGTTAGCTGCGTGGCCGGAGAAGAAGAAGAAGAAGAAGAAGAGGAGGAGGAGGAGGAAGAAGAAGAAGAAGAAGAGGAGGAGGAGGAGGAGGAGGAAGAAGAAGAAGAAGAAGAAGAAGAAGAAGAAGAAGAGGAAGAAGAAGAAGAAGAAGAGGAGGAGGAGGAGGAGGAGGAAGAAGAAGAAGAAGAAGAGGAGGAGGAGGAGGAGGAGGAAGAAGAAGAAGAAGAAGAGGAGGAGGAGGAGGAGGAGGAAGAAGAAGAAGAAGAAGAGGAGGAGGAGGAGGAGGAGGAAGAAGAAGAAGAAGAAGAGGAGGAGGAGGAGGAGGAGGAAGAAGAAGAAGAAGAAGAGGAGGAGGAGGAGGAGGAGGAAGAAGAAGAAGAAGAAGAGGAGGAGGAGGAGGAGGAGGAAGAAGAAGAAGAAGAAGAGGAGGAGGAGGAGGAGGAGGAAGAAGAAGAAGAAGAAGAGGAGGAGGAGGAGGAGGAGGAAGAAGAAGAAGAAGAAGAGGAGGAGGAGGAGGAGGAGGAAGAAGAAGAAGAAGAAGAGGAGGAGGAGGAGGAGGAGGAAGAAGAAGAAGAAGAAGAAGAAGAAGAAGAAGAAGAAGAAGAAGACGCGTATGACGGGGTGCAATTGACAGTCGAAGGAGAAGAAAAGAAAGAACAAAACAGCAACTTACGGTCCAGAAGTTGTTCACGAATATATTAAAGATGCTCAGAATGACAACGAGAAGAGTGGCGCTGAACTTGGCCTTGAAACCGACAACCACCATGACACAGGCGCCGGCGCCGAGGAGAGACACCAGAACGCGCCAAACGGACCATTGGCCGGTAAAGACAAATCCGATGAAGAGAAAGATGAGCAGAACACGGCCGGCCAGCTGGAAGTACATCTTGCGGTCCTTCTCGTCGAGCGTGGGCAGTCCGGCGAAAGCCTTGGTCTTGCGCACCCACGAGTCGGACAGGACCATGAGGAGACCGCCAATGACGGACAGGTTTCGGAGGAAGAAGTTGAGGTCGAAGATCAAGCCGTAGCCGAGGGCCTGGGTGACAACGACGCCCATGAGACCCGCCACGGCGTAGTCGGATTGCTTTCGGGCGATGATGAGGGTGGAGCACGCGACCATGGCGACGACGTTGACGAAGAGGAACACGTGGGTGATGCCGGAGGGAACTGCGACTTGTGAGACGACTTTGCCTTTGCACTGGCTGGCAGGCCCGCGGAAGGCCGATTGGCTTCCCTGTCGGGCTTGCGGGCAACATCATGCATGCACTTACTGTGTCGGTAGTCGTGGAGGTACAGGAGCTGATCGCTCCACTGCATCATGATGCGAAGTGAGTCTTCCAGGAAGGTGACGACAATCAGGAATCGGCCAATGGCGGGCAGGTAACTGCAGGAGAGCAGGCGCTCCCAAAGTCAGCAATTGTCATGGCAGAGGGTCTGGAGATTGGAGTGGTAGCGACAGATCAGTCCGTCTAGGCTGATGGGAACATGTGGCCACGTACGGCTTGAGAGGCTCGCTCAGGGTGTCGAGCATGTCCTCAACCTTGCTCGTGTAGGGGCGAATCTGATCGAGGAAGTTGCCATTGGATTCCTCAGCGTTGGAGGGACCGCCGTACTGCGGAGGGCCACTGAGGCCATATCCGGAAGGACCGCGCTGCATGACGAAGAAGCTGGGATGGAGGAGCTGGTTAGTGGGCGCCTGCGGAAGCGATGGCTTCTCCGAGCCGTGACGTGATGGCGATGCGGGAGCCTGCGACGGTTGCAGAGCAGAGCAGCTGACGACAGAGGTCGCTGAAGAGGAGGATTCGGAGTAGGAAGCGACAGACGTGGACTTGGCTGGCGTGGGACGACGGACGACGGACGATGGACGACGGACGAGGGAAGGAGGAGGAGGTGGTGGTGGTGACGGAGGCGGAGGAGTTGAGGTTGTGGTGATGGGAATTACTGTTGCTGTTGCGGTTGTTGTTGTCGTTGCCCTCCAAGTGGAAACAAATTGTCGCGTCGGTCAAATAGCAGAGAAACCCAAGTCAACAAGAAGCTCGGGAGTCTTAGTCTAGTGGAGAGCAGAAGGCCAGAGGTGTCGAAGAGAGCTAAGAGCACCAAGCACGAGGCACGAGGCACTATCCAGCACTAGGCAACAAAAGTCGACTCGAACCAAGGGGAGGCGATGCGCCACGACGGGAGGTGCGCTGGGTTGGCGTGTGATGGATTGTTGAAGCAAAACTCTGGCGAGATGTAGAGGAGGGGTTGCGAATTGACAAAGTGTCCAGAGTCCGGATGAGGCCGTACAGACAAAAAGTGGTCAAGTCAAGTCAGACGTCTGCCGGCGGCCAGACCGCGGCAGACCTTGGCAGACCGTGGCAGACCGTGGCAGGCCCTAGGGCAGCACGAGCCATGACCGCACGCCCTTGCGGGCCCTGGAGTGGCGCGCGTCTGGGCGAACTTACAACTGTGTCCTTTAGACATGCGGTCCAAGATGGCCCAGCTGCGTGCCGCTGGCCCCACTTCTGGCTCCGTCGCTGACGAGTGTCGAGGCTCGCATACTTTCATGCTTGTTAGGTATGTGAGTACGTACCTTAGTTTGCACCTACTCAAGTACTCCGTACCATCCAAGGTAATCACACGACGCCCAGCCCAAACACCGCGACTACGTACTTTACTTACATACTCAAGTCAAGAACTCCAGTATTGTTAGTCTCCTCGCCCAAGGGAGCACCGTGGCCGCCTTCCAACAAGCTGGTGTGCTGTGCGGGAAACGGAAACCTGGCCCCGGACAGCACAAGCGCAGCCTGCCTATGTGCCAGCTTACCTAAGTATAATACAGAATACTCTGCACCTTCGTGCAGCCGCCCTGTCTGCGACGACTTTCCGCAGGCCAAGCCAATGCCATTGGAACCTACCTACAAGGTACCCCCCGGTCAAGGCGAAATCGAACCAGAACCCATGACATGTGACCACGTCGGCGTTCTGGGCGCAGCTCCCGGTTGCGAGCCGTTAAATGACAGCACTACTACGTAGCTTTGGTTTGCCTATTCAGAGACTACACAAGACACCAGAACTCCGTGTGCAACTACGCCCTCCTCCGTAGTCGCACACCCGCCTCCGTTTCATTGCCTTCCTTTTATTGCCTCGCCGTTTCCAAAATCCGTAATCCCCCAGTTTTGTCATACTCAACTCTGCCTTCATTGACAGCTGCTTCCAGCTCCGGCCGTAGCACTTGCCGTTCGCCCGTTTCTGGATCCCATTCCCAGCCTTCTCGCATCCACATCCATCGTAGGTACGCTCGGAGTTCCTTGTCGTGTGGCATAACTCTCATCCACTCGGGTTGGAACTCTGGCTGCTGCCCTTTGCCATTCCAGTCCTGCGCTCTCCCGAGTAGCTCGTCTCGGCAGAATATCCGCCAGCTGTCCAGCGTATACTTTCCTTGAGTCATATGCCCAATCTCCCAGGCTGCTGCGTCTACTTCGCCATCGACAGCGCCTGTGTTCACGCACTTGAAGTCGCCATTGATACAGAAGCCCTCTTTTCCCATGGCAAACGGCAAGACGTCTCTCTTCTCGTAGTTTCTGACTCTGTATTGCTTCCCCGGCGCCGGGGGGTTGCTGACGAAGGCCTCGGCATATTTTTGAATGAATCCGAGCCGATTCGCAGCCAAACCAAGGTGACGTATCATGTTGAAAAGCTCATCGGCATTGCTGGGATCGCTCAGCTCCTTGGGCGAAGGGAATCTTTCCCTGACTTTATGAAAGACAGGTATAGCTGCTTGCCCGCTGGTCTTGATTAGAAACGTTACCGCTATCAATAGCCAGAACGGCTCATGTGCCAGCCTCTCCTGAATCAGCCCAAACTGGGACGACGAAAGCGGCGGGAAGGGAACACTCGCCACGACTCCTGCCGGGGGGCGATTCGAAAACTTTTTATCCCGGCTTTCCAGTGCAAAGAATGGAGAAGCTTGAGCTGTGGGACAAGGAGCAGTCGCATCGCCTCTTGTTGACTGGCATGTCGGATAGGCGGATTCGATCTTTTGCGATTGGGATGTTATGACAATGCTGCCTTTTTGGTCTTGGACTCCTATGCCATGTATAATATCTGCTACCGCTCTCTGAAAGTACTCCTCTGTGATACCGAGCCCCGGCGTGTAGCCATCCGCAAGCTTTGTCCTGCCGTTCGACGTCCCGTCCTGCGTACTGGTCTCGGCGGACCAGTAATGAGAGATACTTCTACAACTGGCCGGTTTGACCTGTCGACGAGCCCGTCTTGACGGGCGTTTATTGCTTGCTATCTCAGGAGCAGTTGGGCCTCGAATATCAGGGTCTGTGGCGAGCTCCTTGGCGAGAATTATCAGTCGGTCCGTCTCCGCCCAGGGGTTTTCTTCAGTATCCGGCAATGTGGGCTCGCTGGCGAGGACATGCCATACAAATGAGAGCACATCGTTGCCGTCCAAGTTGTTACATGGTAAATATTTCGATCGCTGTATGGATCTCGCACAATCAATCAAGTAGTAAAAGTCTTCTGAATTGGCCAAAATACTTGTGTCCACCAAACGCCTCGCCTCATGTGCAGGTGTATCGGGTGATTGAATGAGCTGCGAAAGGAATTCTTCTTCGTCTCCCCAGAAATCAAAAACCGACAGTACGGAAGCCCCGAAAGAGGCTGACATTTGGTGTTGCTGAAATTGAATTGAGGAAAAAAAAAGGAGAGCTCTGCAGCTCGAGAAAAAGAGCTCGAGAAAAAGAGGCTCGAAGGAGCAGCTATTGCGGCGACAAAAACGTACAAATCTATAAAGATGAAAAAAAAAGGTCGAAAAAAACCGCGGCTGTCAGCTGCAGTCATACCTGGTCGGTCGTGATAACCACCAGCACTGGGTCGTACAGTGCCAGGAATGTTGTTGGCGCGTTTCAATCACTGTGCTTTTCTCATAGAGGCACGTTTGCAATACATCCTAGGTACTTACTTAAGTGCCGTTCTTACTTTAAGTACATTGTCGTGGCAGTACGGAGTACTCTACTAAGTACCCACTTAAGTAAGTACCTACCTAGGTTCTTAACTCAATTAAGCCCTAATAGTGCGTGGAGGGATATTCTTATCGACTATGGCAAGACAGCTAAGCTTATTAGACTTTTAACCAGCTCATGACAATTTTGACCTGAAACAGGGGCCGCGCGCGTAGTAGGAGATACTTAAAGTAGGTACTTAAGCAAGTAAGTACCTAGGTACGTACTTAAGTACGGAGCACTCAGCTATCGAGATACCTTCCCCAGTTAAGTGCCTTACACAGTGTGCTTGTCCTGCTGTCAAAGAGGGGCAGGCCTGGTGTGGACTTGTCAATGGGAGATCTTGTGAAAGCGACCATCTCAATATAAGTCTGTTTGGAGCGGGTTGGGGTGTCTTCAACCGAAGAGCGGTTAATCGGCCCGCAACCATTGCCGATGTCAAATACTACGTATGACAGCTTTTAGAGACAGTACGTCGCCCAAGCCCTCGGCAAGATGATGCTTGCGCACCGACACCCTGCCACCTCCGTTGAGGAAAACCGCTACGTACCAATATTCCGTAAATAACTTGGCATGTGGTGGTACATGAGTGCTTTGGAATGTCGCGGTGCATCCCGCAACTTCCCATCTCGTCCCGCAGCCCGTGCCATGCTTGCCGAAGTACGGGAGAGTGGTGATGTAGGAATTGCGCAGGGGGCGTCAAGTCCCCATGGCAGCTCAAGCTTCAATGACCTGGGTACTTGGATGGGAAGTAGTTTTGCATCGCGCTGCAATTCCATCGGCGGCTTCTCCGTAGTGCCACACAAAGGAGGCATTTGACAAGATAACAGAGCCAATGAAAGATACTGGGGTACCTTTCCAAGTGATTGCGTGCGATAGTGTCCGATTGCGTTGCGATAGGACCGGTATTTATCCCGGCTTCCGAAAAGCACATACATACATGGACGTTCAAAAACGTGGTGCAAGCAGTACAGCATAAACCACTCTCACGTGACTGGCCGTTTCCACCACAGGACGCTAGTCGCCTCGCCGCCTTGCGCCTCCGCCCGGGTCTGGTCTCGCAATCCGTCTCCCCAACATCCTCGAACCTGCGAGCGAGCCGCCTCCGAACTTTATCGAGTCCTCGATTCATCACACCAAAAAATCATCCAAAGGATGAGTAGTCGCGGCGGGAAACTCGCACCCGAAGTCAACAGGTGAGCTTCACTCCTTTTTTTCCGAGTTGGCGCGGGGAGAGGAACTTCTGCCGGGTTTTCGGATGCCCAATGTATTAGGACCGCCGAGTTGCCTCTGTTGACCACGAGACCATTTTTTCCGACTCGCTAACCATCTTCGCAGAGCTCTGTTCGTCAAGAATCTGAGGTAACTTGATCCGACGTTTTAAATCCATGTCCTCGTCCCCAAGCCACCAACTGACCGCAATGGATATAGCTACAGCGTAACTCCGGAGGAGCTTTTCGACCTCTTTGGGAAATTTGGCCCAATCCGGTATGCGTCCTCGAGCTCGATCCTTGCACCAAAAACTTGATAGAAACCAGCGCTGGCAATCAGCTACTGACTTCATGTTCTCTCTCTGCAGCCAAGTTCGCCAGGGCATTTCCACCAGCACCAAGGGAACGGCCTTTGTGGTCTACGAGGATGTAATGGACGCGAAGCAAGCCTGTGACAAGCTCAACGGCTTCAACTTCCAGAACCGTTACCTCGTCGGTACGTGACAAGTAGATATAAAAATCCGATGGGCCCCCCTTGCCATTTTGTCACCCTCCGCCCCTTCAGTGCCCATCACATGTCGGGGCTCTTGCTAACCAGCCTTCGGCAGTCCTATATCATCAGCCCGAAAAGATGATGAAGTCAAGAGAGGACCTGGAGGCCCGTCGGGAATCTTTAGCTCAGCTGAAGAAACAACATGGTATAGATTGACAATCCGACCGGCCTGTGGACAGCCTGCAAGACAAGAGACCCTTAATGTCTTCAGGCCGGTCTTTGTCACCTACAAAGCCTGCTCCGCCGAATCACAAGACGATCCTTCGAAAAGGCACGCCGCCTGACAGCGTCATGACTCAGGGGCATGTCGGCGCGCGAGCAGTCCGCTTTGCCGACGGGGCGCCAACTGCTCTACGATCCTGCGCGTGAGAGTTGCTTGCTCGCCTCCTCGACGATGCCAGTCTCCTCTCATTTCTAGCGACTAGGAGGAGGGGGACCAACGTAACAATCCAGTCCCATTCTAGCCCGGCTGATCACTGCTCCATCTTATTGCTTCTTTATTCCGTGATCGCGGTGGCACTTGTTTTGTTATCGATTCATCACTCCTTGCAATGTACTCTTATCGTTTTTGTTAATTGGAAAGGGAAGTTCGGAAACTGTGAGTTGTGGAGTGCAGGTTTTGTTCAAGCGGAAGTGACGATATGACAAGGTCACGACTAATTGTATTCTCTTGCAGAGGGCATTTTAGACATTCTGGCAAAGGCGGCGAGGCAACTGGCTTTGACTGGTTTTAGTGGCGGACAAGGTAGATTTTAAACGGTCACGTGCAGTGTCCCGTTCTAGTTCTCTTGCTCTCAATAAGATGATCACCTAGGACATTGTGTCGCTCGGTTGCTGGCTGTTGAGCACACCGAGCAGACGCTGACCAGACGTGGTTGCTTGCGATGATGAATGGCGTACTCTGTATTAGCATGGCAATGATATCAGTCACATGAGTGGACAGGGGCTGTCGTTTCACAGAAGGACGAGAAGAACACAACGTCACCACGACCATATCTGTGTAGGGCTGATGCAAGATCGGACACTCCTGTCCCGGTGTTTGGTGCCCTCGGAGCAACATGGCCATGCGGTCTGGTGGCCCTTGTGCTCCCAACGTCACATGGTAGCGTATACGGAGTACTCCGTAGCGGCCGGGTCTTGAGGCACAGAGCGCTTTGTGCGGAATCAGGAAGTCGTTGCGGACGCATGGAAGCCGGCTGATTGCTCCGGAGCGCAGCGCAAAACGGCGAGGGGTGGAGAAGAGGGCTCTCTGTTCCGGGAATCCAAGAGCGATGCCTGCCGAGTGCATCGGCCATGGCCAGAGGCGCAGTGTGTTGGCGACTCGAGTTGGAAACGAGCCCGACGCATCGAAGCTTGAAGTTTCTGGACTCTTGCGGCGTCTCGGCGCCGGGACGTGTTTTATCCACGTACATGTGTTGGAGAAGCACGTGAGACGCATGTAGGCAGTGAGTGAGTGGCAAGAGAGCGACGGGAAGTGGACGAAGCCGTCTGCGACAAGCCAAATCGAGGCCCTGTGTAGACGTGATGCGATGTGAGAAGTTTGTGTGGTTGTGATGTTGTGACTGATGATAATTGTTCGCCTTTGCAATGAGTACCAGGAACCTAGGTAGGTACTTAAGGTAGGTGCTTAAGTTCCTAGGAAGTACGTAGGTACGTACCTCAGGTAGTCAAGCGATATCCCATGTCCCTCAAGTTCTTAAGTGCTCAAGTACTCAAGTACCCAGACGAGCATGACGAGCTCACCCAAGTCTGTCGAATCCCCGAGGCCCGAGATTCTCGCCTCGGTAAACTAACAGCCTACACTGTTCCGTTCAGACAGCTTCACTCGCCGTACGATGGATAACCGCATTACACGACGGCATGAACCTGGTCAAGCGTCCGTCTTTCGCGTGCTTCTAAAACCACCACTTGATCACCAGAACTTCCAGTAACTTTCTCGCCCCACAGGGCCCCCATGCACGTCTTCCATAACATCTCAGCAGCGCGTCGGTCACGTATTCGTCTTCTGCTCTGCTCCCGCTCATCTCCTCCCACAGACATTCGTGCAGAACACAGCGGGACAGCCGCCCACTGAGACACCAGCACAGGATGTAACTTGGCCCCTGCCCTGGGCAGCAAAGCACCTCCCGGGCATCGTTGACCTCACCCGGTTCCATGTACACTCGCGACAAGCCCCGAGCTCGCAGCCCTGATGCTAGTCCTGGACAGAAGCCAAGCTGATCGGAACCTAAACCCGCGACCGAATGGGGCCCAGGGCGAAGATGGCTTGGTTTTCATAGAGTTGGATTTATTGCCCGAGGCGGCTAGCCACTTTGAGCGGATGAGATGATGGGGTCTTGTACAAGGACGTGTTGCCCCCTCGCGACGCTTCCCTTGCTAGTTGTCATTTTGCTCATACCTGTCGAGATGTGGCAACACTTTATCTTACTAATACCTTCACGGCTCAGGTAAACAGATATACGTCTGATCGTCATTGTATATCGGGCGCAGCTTTCCTCATATGTACGTACGTACACCTTGTTGTTATATTCAGAGATGACAATTTCGCCTTTTCCAAGTTCTCAAGACAGCAAGAAATGAAATGCCTTGGGGAAAAAAAACAAAATGGGGAGTTGAGAAAGAAAAAAAGGACAAATTCCATGCCACACTCTATCCAGCTGTCATGCTTTGAATCCCCAAACCGGTTAAAGAGGTCGTGAGCTAAGCTCGAGGCTGTTCTAGAATGCAAATCCCCTCTGCCGCTTGAATGCATCGAGAGCGTCGTAAACTTCCTGCAACTTGGGCCGGTCATAGTAGTTTTCATTCCAATCTCCCCTCTTCATACCCTCTGCCCGCTCACTCAGCCATTTTTCTGACAGCGCAATCTCCCTGGTCCACCACGCACTTGCCGTTTGTTGAACCTGCTCAGGGGTAGAGTCTTCCGTATTCTCCAGATCACGCATTACCAGCTTTTTCTGCTTCCTGACAATGTACTTGCTGAGGCCGACCTGCCTCCCTCTCGTACAAGTGTCAATGAGCTCCCTGATGGGTTCTGGCGTTGTGGCGTAAGACGGGAACTCTACCAGTGGCTCCCACGGGTACGTTAGCCACACAGCGGCTCGCTGGGGAGCACTGCTGGCCTCAAAGATGCACCAGAGGACCCTGCCAAGCATGTATACCTCGCAAGCCTCCTCTTCGGTGCGTGTCAAGCATGCCCACGGCACGTTGTAGCCGTTCGAGGGCCAGATGTAGTCCTCCCCCTGACCCATCTGCTCCCACCCGGGCAGCATTTCTGACAGAATGCCGGCGTATTTGTCGCGAATATCTGGGTCAATTTCGTCGTCAATGGCCAGTAGCCGGATGTACTCGATTGCATTGACTTCCGGCGCCGCAAACTCGCACCAAACGCCACGCTGCTCAAAGTCCACCATGATGGCATCACGGGACTCGGATAGAACGATATTGTCCAACCTGAGATCTGGATAGAAGAAATGTGCGACACTGTGTAGATGTAGCAAGGCCGAGGAAAGCTGAATGGACCATTTTGTCTTCTCGGCAAGCGACACCTGGCCGTGCAGCTGCATGAACGGAATGAGGTCACGTAGACTTCCGTAAGTGTGGTATTCCAACGTGAACCCTACGACTGCCGTCTTATTGCCGAAACTGCACTTCTTTGTCATAAGATGGACTGGACGCGAAACAACGCCGGGGTGTGGTGGCATTCTGAGGAGCTGTCTGAGCTCGTGGTAGAGATATTTCGTGTAACTCGTCAAGGCTTTGAATATCCATGTCCTGCCTTCTATTTCCACGAGACAGACACTGTCGTGTAACTGAGACAGATACACAACATCATTGATGTCGACGGTGCGCGGTAACTTGATCTCCTCGCCCCAATACTTGCTCAGCGTTTGGACAGAGAGGAGCTGTCTTTCGAGATAATGCGTGGGAACGACAGAAATACGCGCTTCTGAAACCTTCCTCGGCAAATTTTCAAACACGATTCGCGAGCCGAAAGGTAGATTTTCGTAGATGCTCCTCATGTTCTTCTGGGCTGAGCTCCAATGCTGCAGACAGCGTAGGACATGACTGGTGATGCCTAATCTCGAGATTCGGGCGCAATCCCTGGTATAGAAGGTCACGTCAAGGTCGAGAGAATCGCGGACGTCGGCTGGGAGTGTTGCCGGCTCGGGAATGAAGACATCTACCCGAAAGGGAGGCATCTTATCCACAAACAGTGGCACGGCATACAGCTGGGTTCCAAAGGCGGTACATCCGTCGATACGCCACAAGGGATTATTGGGTGGGCAAAGGCTGTCAATGCGGTTTTTGGGATTCAAGAGTGAATCAGCCCATGGACTGTCTCCGTTTGACGCTGATGTAGCTTCCACAGGAGCACGCGGACTGTATGTCGAGAATGCTGCTGTGGGGTGTATCACATCATGTATGGATTGCTGGCTCAGATCCATCTTGAACTAGCTCGTGGACGTCCTAGGATCCAAGTCGTTGAGTTAGCTGCTTTGTAGAGTCTGACAGTTTCTCAAGCACAGCATCTACCAGTTTTGGCCAGGGGACCTACCCAGACTCCGACTCCTCCTCGTGTGAAGACTGGGTCTTCAGAATCGGCTGATTGCTATTGACGGACAAAGAGCTGGGGCAGAATTGGTATAGAGGATTGACCAATGTCGCATTTGACCACACCTGACGATGCAACGCCCAGGCAGGGCCTGGAGGAGGACCAGAGGGCCGTTTTCTCGGAACTATGCCCGAACTTTATTCGGGCTGCAAGGTGAGTAGTCAAAGCCCGTAGGAGAGTGGGCGGGAGCGGCCTTGCCACGGTCTTGATTCGACAGATATGATAGATCACATGATTGGGCCATATGCTGGCTGGTCCGAGCATGGTCAGATACATGACCGCAAAAGTGAAGAATCTCGAATATTGACGGGAATTGGAGGTGGATGTCTGCGTGGTGCAGCTTCCCGAGTCCCGCATGGCGGTATGGACCGCAATTCTCTTCCCGCTGCCGCCCCCCCCCATGACCCATGATTACCCGCCCGCTGTAAGCTATCCGTTAGTTTGGCCACCAGACATCAACTAACTAATCCCAAGTGGCAATGCTGACAAGGCAAGGCCAGGCAAGGATAGTCGTTCCGACAAGCGAAGTCGTCCAGCCAGTGCCGTCGTAGTTGGTGGCAAAGCCGCCCTCGCGGGGAGGTTGATGTTTCCATTGTTGACAAGCCCCGTTGGCTTCGACATGTTCCATCGAAACCACGAACGCATATTTCTGCCTTGTTCAGCATTTTCCCAAGTGTCCTCCGGGAAGGGACCCGTGGAAGTTGCCATGAACAAAGCGAATCCATCGCCCTGCACTGTCCCAGGCAATTGTTATGTTGATATTGGGCAGCGTTGATTACTGGGCAGTGCTAGCGGCAACTCATCCCTAGCAAACAGGGACCAATACTCTTTTGAACGGTTTCTCGGCCAAAGAAGTCGTAACTTTAGCATGAAGGGTAGGTGATGTGCCTGCTCGCCAACTTACACAAACATACAAACCTTGATCCTAATTCTTTCTACACCGGTTCGGGTTGTAGATCCTCAATTGTTAAGATGTCGGACCACATATGGAATTCATAGATCAAGGATAAGATGTGCAGCACCCTTCCGTACTCGACCGCGTTAGTATTTAGTAACACATTACAGCACGGGCTTGGCGCCTTCCTTGGTCAATCAAATATTGGATCGACAGTTGCTTTCAGTGAAGTTTGGTTTTCGCTGGGGCTGTTAGTAGTCAGAGACGAAAGTGATGATAGAGCCGATAGCATGAGAACTGGAAAATGTTGTGAGGGGATGGCCTTCCCGCCAATATATCGTTGCAAGGGGAACAGAAAGAGTCCGGATATCGCAAACACCGTGGCACAGCAACCATTGAAAGCAGTGGTGACTCACACAGCAAGCCATCAACCGGAGTAAGCAGCATGTGAGATAATGTGCTGCGTACATCACACGCAATTCACAAGAAAAAGCTCACACATCTAATCGTGGCATGTCAGGGAGCCAGCCCATGGTGTAATGAAGCAGCAAACATGCGACTGAGGTGAAAAACGAAAACGATAATCATCCGCATAGGAAACGTAGCATAGTCGGTTCAACTAAGACACGGCCCGGACAGGAACAGGCAGTCTACCATGCAGTCCGAACTGGGAAGAAAAGGGGATAAGTACCTCTAGGACAAGTGTCATGTACCTTTTCTTCCGACGGTACTTTCACAGAGTCAGCATCCGAAGGAGGAAGTTATAACGGTGCTGCTGGGCGCGCATTTCCTGCCACAAACGCATGACGTGCGTCTTGGCCTGTTGATCCATATAAGCCGTAGTAGGACAATTATTTCTACCAAACGCATCGGCTTTGTCCGTCTTTGTCGTTGTCCAGAAGCAAGCATCCACATTTTCACCGACATCAGGTGGTGGTGATACTAGCACATGAAGCAACGGGCGAGTTGACGGGTAGTCATGCGGCAGTCGCTCACCGGTCGTGCTACTACTGTTTGAAGACTGGAGGACAGTCTTCCTTGTGCATTTTTGCAATAGCGAAGCATCATCCGTTATAACTTATGGCACAAACATCAAGCCATCAGGCGTCCCCAGCGTCGAATCATACACCTCCAAGTAAGTGCTCCATCCGGCGTACAAATGTAATGTACGATGCGGTCCTAAGCAACGCAGATTTTGGCTGACAAGCACACACCCTTGCTCATGTGCACAATCTATGCGCAACAGCTGGTAGTTATTGGTTTGTCGCTCATGCGGGGAGCGCGAGGCGGAGGAGAACTAGGGAGTTCAACGTCAGAGTCTTGAGAACGATAAGCCACGACGCTAATCCAGGCATGGGTTTGCGTCAAGACGTGGCAGTCAGACATCAGACATATGGACGATCCGAACATGCGCGCCAAACTTCAGCTTAGATGGTATGGCATGGGCGACCCAACTCAGCGGGCAGCGCGAGACGTCCAACAATGCGCAGGTTACGTGCACTCGGTGTGGCGTGGTGGTGTCTGGTGGTGTCTAAAGACAAAAAGAGAGACACGGAAGTGAGTAAGCGCGTAAACGTGCAGGCAGGGCAACGTGGGACATGGCTTGTGGAGAAGCGCTTGTCGTGAGCTTGATTGAGGATGATGCCAAGTGGGCGCTCAGAGGAGAGAGATGTGAAGGCAAATGGTGGGAGGAACCAGCCGTAACTCGCGGGCCGTGACTGGTGAGCTAGGCTATGTCACTAGCGGCGGAGAGGCACGCCGGGAAAGGAAGTCGAAGTCAGTCAGTCGCCCACTTGCCGGTCGCGCTTGCGGCTGTTACGGCCGCACTATCTCAGGACTCCACCGTGGCCCTCCAGATCGAGTTTCGTTAAACTCTGTTCAACTTCATTCAAGGTCGACCGCATCACGCTGCGCTACCGTCAACTCCTCCATCGCCAACCCCCCTTATTCGGTATCTTGCAGCTGGTCGCACGAGCTTGGCTTGGTTCCGATCCAGAAGACGATCGTCGGCTCCCATGGAACATTTCGCCCGACCCCTCGCTTGCGCCGCCGAGGCTTGCATCCAGCCAAGCTGGGCCACCCCATGTTCCTTTGCTTCCGTCCTCGCCCATCCATGTGATTTGTGAGGCTGCATTTCTCAAGAGTAAGCATGTGTCCACTCCTGAACCACACAAACAACCGACATGCTTTGTACTGAAGCTTCGACAGTGCCTGGGCTGGGCGTAACCTCAGCCCTCGACGTGAATGGACACAAGAAATCATGACACTGGGCAGATTGGTAGCGTCGCACGATGCTCATGCCAATGCCAGTCCGTCCAGAGCACAGCACTGCTGCCGATGCCGATGCCGTTGGCATCCTCTCGACAACTCCTAAACCCTGGTCGCCGGCTAATGATGATCCTGATTCCCAGGCCTCGCCAACTCGCCCAGCAGCCGTTGAAATTGCTGCCAGGCTCGAATTGGTCCTTCTTACTCACCGGTCCCACACCATACTACATGGTGGGAATGGGCTTTTGTCTCTGCTCCCGTCACATCACATGGCTAGACAGCTGAGGTGATGGTTTGTACGGGGTGCGGAGTGCGCCGTAGCGTGGCACGATATCCAGATCACGGAGTATGTCTTGATATCTACCCAAGTCGATTCTTTCAAGTTTCGAGCATGGAAAGAGATCTTGTCATCTTCTCGCGTGGCGACTGAAGACAACACAATGTAAACCCGGTAGAATTGTATGGCGTTTGGTCTCTCGAACAGGTCAGCTGTGCCGAGAAACTAATGTCAGCCACAACTCGATAATCCCCGATAGAGCTATGGCAAGCTCGCCCGAAAAGCTACGCGAACTCCATCGCCATGCTTTGGGACACGCGAAGGTGGAAAGCTTGGGCCGAGTAAACCACTGTTGGCAATTGGCAATGGCCCAAAGCCTACTTCTTTACCTGCAGACTTCAGGACCGAGATTTGGTATTGCGAAAGGCCATCTTCGCGTTCCGGGTAGATGATCTTGTTTCTCGGTACCCAAGCAGGCAAGCCAACGAGAACACAGAGCCAAGTACTGCTGACTTCCGGGAGCCACACATTCAGCCAAAAAAAGGTGTTTCTGCAACCTTGGCCTGCATGTACTGCTACTAATACTCGTCTCGCGATGCACAGTAGCCACACCACCAGCCAAACACGCGAGACGAAAACGTCGGAAAAAGGTAAATAGTAGTACTAGCATCGGATTGTTCAGAAGGCACCCAGTTCAACGCATGGTCCTAAATCAGAGACGCCAGTCAGAGACGCACAAGTGGTGTGACGGCGGGCACACGCACACACACACGCACGCACACACACAAGAAAAGAAAAAAATGGTTGCAGACAAACATGGACGTCCCCGTCGAACAAGACGGAGCCTGGGACGGAACACGGGGAACTGCGCTTATTTTGGCGTCTCCCAGTCTGTAGGGAGTTGGGAGTACGGAGCACGCAACGCGCAGCACGCAGGATGGATAATCACATTGTATTTGATTGATCTCGCCGACCAAAGCAACCAACTGCCTTGCCAAGGTGTCCACCCCCTTGCAGCGTCTCGTCATGCCGTTGGCCACAGCCAGCGGTCCGATCGGGCAGCGCACGTTGTGTCTTTGTTCCCGTCGAAACGAGGCACAGGTTGCCAGCTTCGGTGCCAAAAGGAAATCAACCCTGGCCTGGGTCCGAGTCCGAGTTGGATCTTGTGATGAGTGGCACTCGCTTCTCCGTACTCCGCACCCCTCAGTCTGGTAAAATACAATCCAGCACGGTGCCATGACTTTGCCCTCCTTCACCGAGCCATCTCTGCTCTCTCACGACTTGGCCATCGTCACTTTCTTGACCTGCCAGACACTATTACCCGCAGCCACTGGGACAACGCGGACCGCCTCGTTGCCCATGCACGTCGGCACCACGCCTCACGTATTGGCCCGCGCTACCCGCCATCCTTGCCCGATGAACAGACAGCCACGCCTCGATGACAACTGCTGGCAGCACGAGTGAGTAGCTAGCAGTCAGTTGGCAGGAAGCAGCAGAAGCACCAGCCGTCGGCCATCGGCCATCAGCCATCATCAGAATCAGCATCAGCATCGGCTTCAGCTCCAGCTTCAGTTTCCGCCCTTCTTGCCGCACCGGCCAACATCAGCCCCTTCGAACTTCTGCATCTCTGCATCTGCGCCTCTGCGCCTCTGGACCTTTGGGCCGCGCAGCCCACAAAGCATCTTACGCGACACACCAGCGCCGCCGACAGCACCAGGAGCCAGCCCGACGATACACCACTACCAAGCGTCGACCTCTTCTAACTAAACCTGGATCAAGCGCTAGCTTGGCTTGACTCGACTCCTTGGGGACCCCGGGGCCGCCTTTTTCTTGTTGCCCAGTCCAGGCGCCCTCGATTCCGAATTCCTCTTACCCTTTGCCGGGACTCCAGCTAGGTCCTGCGTGCGCCTACACCCCTCTTGTGGATGCATACTCGGCCGTTATACTGCTACATTGTACTCGGCCTTTTCATGACGATGGTCCTTGTGGAGCCTTAGCAAATTGAACCCCTCCCTGGGCGAGTTGCAGCACAACATTTGATCAGCTCACAAGGCTTTTGCGACCTTGCCGCTACGCCTATACTTGTTCGTGTCTCGAAGTCAGAGACGATACTTTGCCTTCCACGTGCTAGTACCTGAGTCTTGGCTCTCTCGCACAACTACTACCAGTCTTGTCCAACACACCCTGTCACGCTGGATGACTACCATGGTAAGGACCCCTTTCTGCTCTGTGTTCGGGTTCGCGGCAACCCGCATGAGATATATCACTATTGCCTCCTCCCCTTCTCCTCCCCCTTCGTATCGTACACTGCGTTACCTAATTGTCATTTGGAAATCCCAATTCCGCGTTTGCCCTCCCGGTCCTGCACTCCACTCGGTGAGGTCGAAAAGCATCATAGCGTTGACCGTCGTGATCCAATCGTATCTCTCAACATCGAACCACATCGCACTTCCTTTGTCTTATACTAGAGGCATTTGGTTGATTCAGAATTTAGGAGCTCACTCGGTCTGTCATCCACAAGCGTCCGCAGTCCCATGTTGGTACTGCGACGTCGTCGCTTGCACATCAGTCGACCCTTTTTCTCCCAGTAGAAACCTTTCAACAGCTTCCATTTGACTATCAACCTCCATTTGACCAGGACAGCCTGTCACATGGCCAAACTTCTGGCTTTGAAGGTCGTTATACACCCCAGTTGGAACAGACAGCAGCAAAGCGGCGAAGACTCGACAGCAACACCAACACCATGCCAGTGAGATACTCTACTACAGCCTATCAAGGTAGCTATGAGAAAGCCCTGTCCATTAATCTGTATGAAACGGCCAGTGATGAAGGCCAATCCATCTTGCCGAGATGGGTCCATCCAGTGATGCCCACTTCACAGAGCTTGGCTCAATTTCCCAGACGAATGGCCGAATTGATGTGTGGTGGTTGCGGCGGCGACGATCTGCATGATGGTATGAGATAATATGTCCCCCCTTCTGTGTTCTCTTTGCCCGTATAGCCACTTGAGGGGGTTGATTCATTGGATACTGACTTTGACTGTTGCCGTTAAAAAGGCTACTTCTCTCTGCCCGAGACGCAACCTGAGATCTACGAATCGGGCAAGCCATACTCTACAGAAACGCAGCCAATGATAGGAACTCAAATTCTACCAGAAGCTACTGGGTTTCCCCTAGTCGACACAAAAGATCTCAGCCAAGGTGTCTTCAGCGAGGATTCGGCGCACACTACCTCGGCACAAGCAGCATTTGCCCAGGAGAGTCGGCTGCAGGCCACGCCAGATTTCATCCAGGATCGTTTCCTTTATACCCACGATGCTGTATTTCCCAACATCTTCTCAAATCAACTTGTGAAGCAAGAACAGGATCTGCTCGGCTCGCCTGTCTTCGGACAAGACATTTCATTGCGTAGCGAACAAGCCCACGCCAGCTATGTGTTTAACCCAATGAACCCATCCATCCCACAGTCGATACCACAAGCCGATGTAAGTCCTGGTTCGGGGCCTAACTCCGTCTTGATAATGTCGCCTGGAAACCTTATCGACACTGTACACCAAGTGCCTTGGCCGAATACGAACATGCATGTCCAACAATCCAACTTTGACATTCTGATGCCGAACCAGCGTGGCGGAAAGCGAGGACCGTTTCGCGATCCCAATCTTCGAGAACAAACTGCTCAGACAAGAAAAATCGGTTCTTGTATCCGATGTAGAATGCAACGAATACGCGTAAGTGCTGCTGCCATAGTTTTACGTCCCGTCTTGCAACCGGGCATCGCACGATATTGCGTGGCGGAATTCCAAACAGGAATGACTTACCAACAATGCTCCGATCAATTAGTGCGAAAATAACCCAGGCGAACCGGGAGGGGCGTGTCTGACCTGCAAGAAAGTTTCCAACACGAAAGCAGGCAGGTTTCCATGTCTGAGATACAAAATCACCGACATTAGACTTTTCAAACCCGGGCAAGTTCCAGGATACGAATGGACGCGGCGGTGGAATAACAACATATCTGATCCGATTCAAAAATGGGCATCATCGGATGTCAAGTTCATCCGTATCTCGACGGGCTATTCTACGAAATCCATTGAATTGAGAGTCCGAAAATTTGTACCACAAGAGGGCGACAAACTAGAACGGACGTGGGATTTTGAAGGAAAAAAGAGATCGGTGAAGATCCCGCCTTATGCTTTGATGGACCTAGATGACGGAAAGTCAGCATATATGTCTTATATTCGAGATGCCATGGGCGATACTCTGCAACATGTAGCTCAGCGCTCCAGTGGCCTGCTGAAGAAGACGTATATCCAGGCGTTCCGAATGTACCAGGATCCATCGATGCCCGAGGACTGGAGACAACTTTTTGACTGGACCTTCAGACTATGGGTCGCTGTTCGACTTTCAACGACATCAGAGTTTATTGTTGGCGAAGAAAAACTAGGCATGCCAGACAACATTCTAGACAGCACAAGTCCCCATAGTGGCAAGATTCCTGTTCCGCCTGTCCTTGGTGCGCAGTTGGACCTCGTCTTGATTCATCATATCCAAACCAAACTCAGACGCGAACTGCTGGACAAGTTGCAGAAAATGATTTTGAAGAACAAGCAAAGCACCTGGTTTGTAACGTATCTGGTGACCTTTATGCTACTGCACAACGCAGCACTGATCACGGCACACGATGCCGCATATGCTCGGAAGCATGGAATGAAGGTAAGTGGGAAAAAGAGACGGCAAGAGCCCAGAAAGAGTGTGTCCCCCTCAGACTGCTTGACGTTTTGGGAGGCTGCGCGTCCTTGGTGGTCTGCGTAGACGGTCGAAATAGCCGGGAATCTTTTTGCTAACGGCCGACCTTCAGCGTCGATTTGCGCGCGAGGACAAGGTGAAGGAATACTTTCTTGGTAAGACACGAGATGCCGTCTCTTTCTACCCATGTCTGCGATGGAAGGGTTTCTTTCTTTTTGTTTTCCTTTGGCAACGGTTGCTGACGACGGGCGGGTTTGTTGAATTGCTGTAGGCGCAAACATCCTTTTGGCTCATTTCCACTACTGTAACAAGGGTTGGTATCCATTCTCGGAGGATTGTAAGGACCAGGATCTGCGGACACTTGCAGATCTAAATGAAGACAAGATTCGGTTTGTACAGGCGACGAGGGAGTATGCCAGGGATCACAGTAAGCGCCACCCCCTACGCCCAAGGCTGCGTGCCGGTGAACCAGACTGCTGGGGCGGCGCTAATGCGTATTGCGATACAGAAGGAGAATGGGACAAACTGCGTGAGCGAGGAAGCTGGGAGGATGATTACTTTTTTGTCAGCCAACTTTTTGAGGAGAACTGGCACCCCCGGTCTGACGCATAGCTGGTTCCGACATCTGGCGCGGAAGCGGTGAGGGAGCGACCGAGCACTTGTTTTCGCAAGCAGTCGACCGCACGATGCAGTCTAATGAAGCGAGAGAAGCGCTAGCAGAGGATACTTGCAGAAAGGCAGAGAGGCCAGACATGCAGCAAGCCCGAATGGGAAGAACAAAGTACTCGGTACCTTGTCGAAGACTTTGCGTTCCCACAGCGACTCTGGCCGCCTGTCCAACCTACAAGTCAGGAGCTTGTTTCGATGTAGCGATTCTGGTCCGGATATGGACGTGGCAGACCGAGTTGTCAAGATACATCAACATTCATGCAGAGGACTCGGCGGGAAAGAATGCGCATCGGACGGCACACGACGCATGTTTGTTCACGGCTTGCTTTAGGCCGCCGGACCAGGACCGGGACCAGGACCGGGACCAGGCAAGGAGTGCGAACATTGTGTTGCCTTTTGATGGACAACTAATTTACGGCAGCAGGAATTCAAAAAAAAAAAGGCATCTTTCCTACCTCTGTCTCGTCTCTCCGTCTTCACCGTCGCCTTCCTGCAACCCTCCGGTTGCTAGCATGCTCTACTCCCTACATCTGGGCCACCTGACCTCATCTCTTGGATGCCCACATCTTGTCCCGTTCACGACAAGTTGTAAATTTGTTAGACACGGTCGGAACACTGGATGAAAGATGCATTGCCGATCCCTTTTTTTTTGTACGTCTTTGATCTAAGTAATGATTGAATATGTGGCGTTTGCCGGCCCTTGAACAAGGCGACACAGCATGTTGCAGTATTTCGATCGCGAATCTCGCAACACGTCGTGTGACGGCCCTCGCTTCTCGTCTTATCTACTGATCACATCTCCATATTGTCCCGTCTGGTCTGGGGGTTGCCGCCACATTCACCAGGGAAAAAAAACATCAAGAATCAAGGGGCTATTGTGTGAAGAAAAAGGAGAAGAAAGAAAAGAACACGGTGAGGAGACTCCACACGAGCTTGAGCCAGCAGCATTTGGCAAAAAGAACAATCAATCAATCAATCCCAAGAAAAAAAAAAAAAAAAACCTGCGCCACCGGCCGTTAACGCTGTTTCCAAGAGTCGGTTGTGCGGCTCCGAGGCCAGCCAAAACTTGTTTCTGGCAACTGACAGGCTGGGATGTTGAACCAGGTGTTGAGCCAAGTGCGACCAGCCTCGCCTGAGACGTTGGCCTGGTCCTCCGTACTTGGCGTCCCTGTCCCAAATCTCCGTCTCCGTTAGGACCAACTTAGCGTACGGAGAAGACCTTCGTAGCCGATGAATCGGGACTCCGTCCCATGTCCAGCTCAACGTCGTACCCACCCTTGTGCGCTGCGTCCCGTCCCCTAGGGCCGGGTCGATGTATTTGGACAACCCCAGTGCATCCCGCATCTCTCCATAGCGATCCACATGTCGTGTAGTAGCTATTAAGCCATCCGTGGCTAGGGATTCCTTGGAATGCTTGCCAGTAACATGAGCAACTCCAGCCGCTCGAGGGGACGCCACAAGTCGTCTTAACCGAGCGGTGTCCAGTTTAGCTAGTTGAGGCCAATGAGACGGGACATCTCATACAAACAACGGACGCCGAGTTCCTCACGTCGCGTCCATTTACCGTTTCGTTTGCGGCCCGGGGCTCAGTCTTCCGTCTCGATAACTTCCCTCTGTTATCGAATCCCAAATATGATTTGTTTTTTTTTGGTTTTTTTTGTTTTAAGACGGTGAATCAAAGGCTGAGAACATCGTGATGCTCGAAGCAGCTCATCGGTAGTTACCCGCAGCCACAATATGACTGGGTACCTGTCGCTTGCCACACATATGCGTGCACCCGTCAAATTCCTCGACTGCTGGGCAAGTAAGTTGAAATAAAAATCTGTCTTCTGAGGGAGAAGTAAGTGAGCCAAGGAAAACGGGGCGTACAAACCCGTATGATCCTGTCTGTACTCATGCTCATGCCCATGCAAATATGTAGACATATACATACCTTCATGCATATACACACACGTATATATAGATGTCCGTTTGGCGCTTTGGATTTGCGAGACTCGATGTTGTCAATGTCATTGAGACTGTCTCCTGTTTCTTCTTCCAAATTCGCTATCCATTGACGCATCTTCGCAAAGTCTAATCCACGGGCTGTACATTTTCGAACAGGTACAACGAAGGCGTCCTATAACACATCTGATATAACTTGGTAATCGTCTTCTTAGTCTCGTCGAAGAAAGTACCAATGGCTCCCGAAGCGAACGGACCGGTCGTTGGATCGCGGATCACCCCCATCCACGATGTTGCCTTTCCAGCTGCGTTGGCTCACGTGGTAGGACTTCCAAATGGATTTCCTGTTATGCTTGATTCGCCCTTGGTATGGTCAGGAAGGCAGTTCAGAAAGGATTCAGACTATATATTTCGTCTGAAAGAGTCACATTTGTGTGAGATTGATCATGCTCTCCAGGAGTTCAAGAGTAAGCGGGGAGAAGCTATCCTTTAGCAGAAAGAGAAAAAAAAGACATCGTGACGACTGACAAGCGATGGGCAGAACTTGGCTTGGACGGAGACTTGGTTTCGACTCAAAATTTTGCCCTGCCCACTCTCGGTCCGAAGCTCTTTGATCTGCGACGGGATATATATCGTGGAAAGGGGTTCGGTCTCGTCCGCGGTATAGATCCTCGGAGATATTCGGTTGAAGATTTGACCATCATCTACCTGGGTATCCAGTGCTACATAGCCAATCTTCAGGGAAGACAAGACAAGAAGGGAAACATGCTCGGTGAGTAGATTACCCCCCCCGTCGAGGAATCGTTGGCAGTAGTGCTCAGACTTTTCCACAAGTCCACATCATAGCGGACGATTCAACCAAAATGAGAGCCGAGCATCATCGCCATTCGACTGCACCGATTGTAAGTTCAATGAGTCCTTGGCTGCCTCTTGGGCAAGCCTTATTGACTTAACTCGGCCCTAGACATTTCATAACGAAGAGGCTGGAGATATCATTAGCTGGCTGACCAGAAGCACTGCGGCGTCTGGTGGGAAGTGTATCCTTGCTTCGTTTTATACCGTTTATAATGCGCTTGCAGCAACGCGCCCTGACTTGGTTCGTATTCTTGCACGTTCTGACTGGCCTTTCGCATTGTAAGTAGGAAACCGTCACAGGAGCCAACAGCAAGATACTGACAGCAAGCGATGATAGGCCACGATTTCAGTGCCGCCCTGTGCTATTCTACCATGATGGTAGGATCATTGCCAACTTTGGCAGAGCCGCCTTGTTGGGCAGCGCAAGCCACGTTCGATCAGACCGACTTCCCAAGCTAAACGATGTTCAAATTGAGGCTCTGGATGCCATTGAGACAATTGCAAAAGCAACGCAACTCGAAATTACTACGCAGGCCGGGGACATTCATTTTATTAACAACTTGGCCGTTCTTCATCGGCGCGAAGGATTTATCAACGGGAGCTCCGCCAGAGAGAAGCGTCATCTGGTACGAATGAGACTTCGTGATGCTGAGATGGGCTGGACTATCCCCGACGACCTGAAGGATGAATGGAAAAAGACCTTTGACCCGAAATTGAACCGTGTGTGGCATCTAGAGGCGATGCCTGACGGCTTCTTCCCTTTGCGATCGCAAGCAAACTGAAATGGTGTCGTTTGCGAAGACGCTGTTTGGCACGAACTTGCATCTTCTCCAATTCAGCCATCCAGCCATCTAGCCACGGGTATTGCGGAATACAGGCTGGCAATCGCAGACGTCAGGAGAGCCGATGAGCATTTGATTCCGGAACCGTGAATCCGGTTTCAAACTTGTTTTGATTGTGGACTTGCATCAAACTGGAGTAAAGCTGCATAAGCGTCTTGTTCAGTGTGTTTGTCTTGGGGCGTGCTGGTGTACCCAACAAGGTGTGTATTTTCTTTTGTCTTTGATTGCTACCAGGATATCGGGCCTAGACACTTTGTGTACATATTCTTATTGTACAGTGCGATAGAATTAGAACTGATCAACCTGGCAACAGGTAACTAAGATAGAATCAGTAAGGCGTCTGCCATAGAGAATAGACATTGTGTGTTTTTCAACCTCTGAGTCGATCTTGTTGTCACAATCTCAACTCCCGACCTAACGTGTATGTGTAGTGGTGCATGGACAAACCATAGCCTCGTGGTGGATAGCTCGAGACGTAGCCTTGACGAGTTTTTTGTATTCACATCTCATCCAGAATATCCCGCTGTTGTACTGCTCGTGTCTTGGATGAGTACAGAAATGTCATGTGACGGGGTATGCAGAGAACCCAGAATGCACAAGCAAAGGTAGCAAATCGTCTCAAGGACTGAGTATCCGTGGCATTAGTGGCTGCAATAGTGAAAACGAAGTGGTGCCACCAGGTGCTGTGTTTTGAGCACGTTCGGAAAACGGTTTATTAAATTCTGAAACGCTGTGTTAGCAAGACCAGGTTTGACCACATATTCAGAATTGTTTCAATTTGGCTGCCGTGGTTGCGCCAAAACATTTTGTTATTAGCTCACGATGCATGCAGCCTAGTCGCATTCTGAAGAGCTTCAAATATTGATCACTTCCTACACTGTGGAAGGAAATCGAATCAGCGGCTCTTGGAATTCGCAAAGCATCGAAAGAACTCAACCTAGGAGTAGATTACCAAAGAGTCGCCGTCTCAAGGCTTCATCTTCCTCGCTGCAGGATTCACTGGGATATTTCAGGGGCTGGGGGGCAAAACTCCGTAATTGGAGTCGGATGTCTTGCCGCGGGTGGCAGGACATGCTTGCTTTTCCCCCCGGTGCTGTGTGTGTCGTGCATCCACTTGCCACCAGCTGTCAGTAATGGCGGTGGGTGGCCAAACTCAGCCAACCCGTCTGCCAGGATCCCACTCCGCCGGAGACCATCCACGCAGCGTACTCCGTAGGCTTGCTGGTTCTTGTCGGTCGCGGAGAAGGCTCCAGGTCGCGCCTCGCACCGAAGCACGCCAAGTCGGCTCAGTCGAATCAAGTGCGGCTAGCGTTTGGCATGGGGCCGTAGGCACATACTACCCTTCACACAGGTCCATTCTCTCAGACGCACGCGTGCGTCAAACCAGGGGTCATCCCGCTCTTTCAACTTCGTGCAGGAACAACGGTAGAGTGGTAGAATGGCGTCCGCATCGCGGCCCAAACAGCCACTAGATGAATCAGCGAGGTACCGACCAGTGTATCAAGACGACGACCACGACGGTTCGGAGGATGGTGTTGGTCATGTCGGCCATGCCGTCGACGATGCCGGCGGGAATCTTGGTCAAGGCCAGGATGCTCGGGGGGCATTTCGGGGGGAAGATTTCCGCTCACGGCCTTCGCCGTCTGAAAACCGCTTTCGGGTCGCGACCTTCGTTCTTGCCACGCTGGTGGTTATTTTAGTTGGGGTCAACGCTTTCACGTCACTGCCCTTGGCCTTCAAGGGAAAGAACGACTCTTGTCCCTGCCGTTCGAGAGAGGTGCCCCAGTACTTCCAGACTTCACCCGAGTTATGGGCCGGCCCTACGCCGACAGGAAGGGCTGCTTTCATGGCACAGACGCGGACTTTTGACCCAACCGCGACCTATGTGCCGAATGAGCCATTGCAGACGTCAATCCCCATCGAGGGAATGGGCTTGGGCAATGAGAGCATCTTCAAGATGATGGGCTATCTGTCGCCCTATGCGCCTTCTCCAGGATTTGGCGTGGACGAATTTCCGCTACCTGCCGGGGCAGAGATTCTTCAAGTGCAGATGCTCTCTCGTCATGGATCGCGATATCCTACGACTGGGTCCGAGGTCGCCCAGCTTGGGCAGAAGATTGCCAACGCCTCAGAGACGTTCGACCCGAAAGGCGCTCTCTCCTTTCTCAGGGACTGGAAATACCAACTCGGGGCCGAAATTCTCGTGCCCAAGGGTCGCGAGGAGCTCTTTCAATCGGGTGAGAGGTTCACGGCGCCATCTCGAGCCGTACTGTGCGTCACGCTGACCTGATGTTACCCGACAGGCGTTCTGCACAGCTACATGTACGGCAGCCTGTATAACCCCAAGAGCAAGATCATCGTTCGCACGACTGTAGGTACTTGGCTGTCTCGTTGTATTCGTGATTCCTCGTGCTGATGGGTCTAGACCCAAGACAGAATGCTCAAGTCTGCGGAAAATTGGCTGGCTGGGTTTTTCGGACTGGAGTGGTGCGCTTTCTATTGCCAGTGCTGTTTGTTCACGAGTCTTGTTCTAATCTCGCCTAGGCCCAACAATGCCACCATCGAGGTCATCATAGAAGAAAATGGATTCAACAACTCGTTGGCCGGGTCTTTGAATTGCCCAAACAGCTACACCAAGTCTCCCGGAAACGAAGCTCGCAGCGCATGGACACACGAATACCTCAAAGATGGTAAGGCTTGCTCATCGACCAGTTATTGCCAGACATGCCGGCCTGACGCACCACATAGCCCAGAAACGATTCCAGACAATGACAGCAGGTTTTACATGGACTGTCGAAGACGTTTACGCTGCGCAGACCATGTGCCCGTATGAAACTGTTGCCTATGGTTTCAGCAAATTTTGCGACCTGTTTACGTACAAGGAGTGGCGATACTTTGGTTACTCTGTTGATCTTTTATTCTCGTCCGTCAGCGGATTCCACAGTCCGACTGGGGTATGTCCTGTTTTCCAGCGATTGACCGATACTTGAGCTTTGCTGACGAAAGGCGCAGAGAGCCATTGGCCTCGGATATCAACAAGAAACCATGGCACGACTTAAGAATCATACGCTGGGCTACTCTGGCTCGCAAATCAATGTCACACTGGACAGCAATACTGAGACGTTTCCCCTGAACCAGAGCCTGTACTTTGACTTTTCTCACGATACCAACATGGTGTCAATCTTGACAGCCTTTGGACTCGGGCAATTTGCCGAGGAGCTGCCTGCCAACAGCTATCCCGGAGATCACAACTTCACCGTCTCACACTTGACGCCGTTTGGAGCGCGACTCGACATGGAAGTCATCCAAACTCCCCAGCCGCTGTCACCAAATCGAGATGGCTATCTTCGGGGCGGGCAGACAAAGTATATCCACTTTGTCCTAAACCAGCGGACGCTACCGCTGGGCAAGAGCTTGCCCGAATGTGATGCCAGCAGGAGGGACGGGTGGTGCGAGCTGGATACCTTCATCAAAGTCCAAGACGACATGGCCGCCAGGGCCAACTTTGATCACGCTTGCTTTGGAGATTACCCTGCCGTAAAATATGGCGAGGTGACTGACGGTGTGCCGCCGTAATGTTGAACATGGCCTGGACCTTTTCCTGCATGAATGATTGGCCTAGTGATGGGCGCACTACTTTTCCCGGATGTCTTGGTCAGCTTGAAACGGTTTTTTTTTTTTTTGTTTAGGAAATAAGGAATTTTTCAATCATTTTTGTTATTCGAACGCCGCCTGGGCAGAACGAGCTTGTATTCCGCCATACAGAATAGTCACTTTTCAACCGGAACCATTGTAGACTCTTTGGAAACAGATCAAGTTTACCGTCCACGTTGTACCATGTGGAAAACGCTCTTGCCCGAGCTCATCTATAATGCCGGCGGTATGTGTCCTGCAGCCAAGAATGAAAAATCAACCCAAAACTCCGACGCCTGCTCTGCTATCCGACCCATACGCATATCGCCAAGAGTCCAAAGGCAAAAAAAAAAAAAAAAAAAAAACCACC